GTAAGTATATATTTATAGAGTATACACTATACAGTGCATCCCACTAAACAGAACAAGGACAAATTCACAATTATGGAGTGGTTCCAACTAAACATGAGAGTTAAGAGAAGACTTAAAGGTCGTCTTTGAGCTTTGAAATTCGTGAACCTATCTTAAACAATAATCATTAGTAGCCCTTGTCCTGACATTTCCAAATTGTGGTCTGTGTTTTTGTACTTTCAATTTTGCCAGGCTCAAAGAGGAGGTACTTATACAGGGGTACCCACAAAGGATGAGTCTTCAGAGACGACTGTATGGAATTGATACTGTCTGTTTCCTTATATTCATGATTCCCTTCTTTTTTTCTTTTCCAAATCATTAAAAAGACAATATTTAAGTCGTTTCTTAATTATTTCATATTATGTGGGACACCCTGTATATATATAAGTTTATATGGAGTTAAGTGTGCCACATGCAATACTTATACTTACATGATACAATATTCATACTTACATGATACAATGTTGGTGATTTATACGAGTTTTATTGTTTTTAACTGTGCACTCACTGTATTTCCACTACTCGGGCTGGCCCCACCAAAATAAAAATAAATATTTCTAAAATGTTTAGATTTTCACATTCTTAACTCAATTAGAAAATTCTAGGTTTCAGTCTGTATAATGTATACATGGGAATCATTGGGGAGTTTCCATAGTTTCAAAAATTTCAGAAATTGATGATCTTACAACCCCCCTCCTTCTCTCCTCTTTACCCTGTACCCCCCCCCCCCTCCTTCATGTTTGTAGAATCCGCCCTCGCTGCAGATTATTTCACTATGATTAATATACAGAAGATACACACATGGGATACAAACCCGAGAAACCATAACAATAACAAATTGATAGAAATATCTAACACTATAGGTTAGATCAATGAAATGCATCATATTTATTCAGTTCATAGAGTGTCAAAACCGATTCACAACCGTACCCTTTTTAACATTTGTTTGATGAAAGATGATCAAAATATCCTTTTTTCCAACTGGTTTCTCTCTAGCAGTGACATGCGGATTTCTTCATCAGAGACATAGAAAAAAATTGTCAGAACTCAACACTTTTTAAAACTGAAAATCTTGACAGTTTTTATATGCTTTATTAGTAACATGAAACATAAGTCACATTTGATCTGAATGGAAATAATTTCCCATTTTTAAAGTATCTAAGAGTTTTTTAATATTTATTGAATAATTAACAACAGCATATTTTTTAACAATTATATTCTAAAATTCACCCCCCCCCCTCCCCTCCCCTGGATAACAATATATCCTGCTTGAAATATATGTATATGCATGACAGCCCAAAAAACCGTTTATATTTTAGGTATGCATGTGGGCCTTATTTCCAACCAAGGCATGCAATATTTCAGGCAAGTGCTGGGTTGCAATTTAAAGGACGCAAACTGCAAATTTGCAAAGGTTGGCTGATCAAAATTCCTTGCAAAAATATAATTGCAATTTTAATCAGCCTTGAATGCTACCCCTACCTCTTACCCATGCTCTACCATATAATATTTTTTTAAAACAATAATTACGGACTGAGCGCGCTGGAACATTTAAAACCAAAAAAAAAGATATAAAAGATATTACGTATGGCAGCTCACTTTGAACCGCAAACTCAGAAAAGAATTTCGGCCAGAGCTTATGCTTATGCTTATGCTCTGAACCTTCTTGGTTCTCTAAATGATTTACATAATGTCGAATTTTTCATAATCACAAAAATTGCAAAGTTTAAAAGTTTTTTTAATCCTTTATCCCGCCATATTTAGCCAATAGTTATTTATATGAATCTCTGAAAAAATATTTTCTCCGAAAAAAAGGTGAAATATGTCAGCACACAGAATTTATGTTCGATACAAAGTTTTGTAAGCGATCCTTATAAACTAATTTTTTTCGACAATGACCGATACAGAACACTTGGAAATGCGTCTTTGTGTATCGTCTGTAATCTATTTTCTCTATGAGTGAATTTATTCATAAGTATCTAACAATGCAATCACCAATGCATTTTTAAACACAACAAACACCACCCTTCTTGCTTCTCAAAAAAATTGTCTTCTGTATTTCTTGAGTTTGTGAATGACTTATATGTGGCCAAAATAATGTATAATACCACTGAGCTTATGTTATTTTGCTGACGCCATTATTTAAAAAAATAGTTTAGATGTTTGATGACAAAGCCGTTATCTAATTTCTTTGGATTTCCTAAATTTAATTTTTTGATATTCAGGGTGTCCAATGAAGAATTTTACACTCCTTGGATCGAAGCTTTTCAGAAAAAGAATTGTGAAACTAAAATTCTACATTTCAGTTTTATTTTTGTCTATATGCAAAAACAGAGATTAGGTAAAGGATTAAAAATGGGGTTTTCAATTTCAGTATTTTTTAGCAATTACTCATTTAGGCGTACAGTGATCCATTTTTACTCACTCGATGGTAAAGAGTACAGTCTACAGAGTACAGTCTACAGAGTACAGTCTACAGAGTACAGTCTACAGAGTACAGTCTACAGAGTACAGCGTACAGAGTACAGCTTACAGAGTACAGCGCGAAGAGTACAGCGTACAGAGTACAGCGTACACAGTGTACAGCGCGCGTATTGGTGTAAACTTGAAATAGTTTTTCGCATTCAGTTTGAAGATAAAAATGTGGATTTCGCGATGATCTGATTCGATAAAACAAAAAAATTGCAAACATTCTCTTTCTTTTCGGGAAATTTGGCATTATTTGTTTCATGAAAATTTCGCTAAAAAATTATTGCAAAATTTTGCAAAAAAAGTAAAATGTTCACTAGTACTTGCGCGCTTTTGTGACATTGTAGCTCCTCTTGTTTAGATTTTTACAAACATAAAGAATATCAATCTTTAATTCAACATTTATTAAAAATCTGTGATGAATAAAGGAATGAATGATGAATAAATAAATGAATAAGCGAATGTAAATATATTTAATATGTGAAGTTAATATGGGATAAAAGTGGAAAGGATGAATAAATGAATGAATGAATGAATAAATGAAAGAAAGGATGAATGAATGAAAGGATGAATTGATGAATTGATGAATTGATGAATTGATGAATTGATGAATTGATGAATTGATGAACTGATGAATTGATGAATTGATGAATTGATGAATTGATGAATTGATGAAAGGATGAAAGGATGAAAGGATGAAAGGATGAATAAATGAATGAATAAGCGTATAGAAATATATAGATAATATGTGAAGTTATTTTGGGGTAAAGAATGAATAATTAAATGAATGAATAAGAGTATATAAATATATAAAATATGTGAAGTTAATACGGGGTAAAAAATGAATGAATAAGCGTATTTAGATATATAAAAAATGTGAAGTTAATATTGGGTAAAGAATGAATGAATAAATAAATGAATAAGCGTATATAAATATATTAAATGTGTAAAGTTAATATGGGGTAAAGAATGAATGAATAAATGAATGAATAAGCGTATATATATATATATATATATTGAATTACAGTTTAGAGAAGCGTATATATATATA